AATGCAAAACTAATTAGCTTACAGATTTTCCTGATCATGTATTTGTGCCTGCAGGAAATTAAGATCTATTAAGATTATCTTCCTAAATGTTACTGGAAAGGTAATATTATTGACTAATGAAGGCTTTTAAGACATTTACTATCTTTCTAATTACCTGTTAGAGTAATATGTCTTAAATGTGTGCAAGTGCAAATTATTCTTGTTATATTTGACAGAGAGTAATGCCTTCCAGCTTTTTTGTGCTGTTGAGGTTTTTCTTGCGAGTTGATGGAGTTCTTATTAGGATGAATGATACAAGAATTTATCATGAGGTAAGAAAGTCTTAATGGGAACATTTGGTTCCAAAAGTCATAAAAAACAGGGTATGCCTTAATGTTTAGAAGTGACATTTTATTTGCTAATACATGTATGTTATTGTCTCTAAACTCTAAATTTAGAAATATGATAGTTGCAGATTTGTTAGCTGTTTATTTGTATAACTAGTTGAATAGACTTCAAATAATCCAAAGGTTTCTCTGCCTTGTTCTCTATACATAGCTTTTGTCTAGTAGACCTAAAACTATTAGGAATGAGATGTGCAGCCATTAGTATTTTAATTTATATACTGTCTTTAGTATAATTGTAATACTGTGTACATTCCAGTTTATACATATATACTACCCAAGTACATCCTGTATGGATCTTACCAGATTTAAGATGGCATATGAATCCACATGTTATATCCAGTATTTCCAGCATGAATGTAGTTGGTTTATTACTATTTGTAAATAATACTAGATTTACAGCATCTTTATTGGATATCACCACAGGATTTTGTGTTAATGTTGCAATAGATTACTTTTGTACTACAGAAGTTTCATTTTATTTGAAACTATATGTACATATTAAATTATTACAATGTCATGAAAATACATTTTAACTGCTTTCTTTTTACTAGGCCAACAAATCATACATGTTGCGGGAATACACCTCTAGGGAAAGCAAAATATCAAATCTCAAGGTATTAATATTTAAAACATGTTTATGTCAGAATTAGTAAATTTTTGGTGCAAGTTATTTTATGGATACTGAGGAGCACCACTATTTTTAAGCATTTATTAAGTTTATATGAGAGAAATAAAATTAACAATAGTCTATTTTTAATGCTGTAAAATGTTAAAATCAACAAATCTGTCAGTAATTCAAAAATAGGAAAATGTGGAATTCAAGTTACTTAATAGTATATTTTGTTCTTAGAAGATTTTTTCCTAAAACTTCTAGTTATATTCTATATAGTTTAGTTAGTGGGCCTATTTGTATGACTTGAACAATTCGGCCATTTTCTCTTCAAATTTGTTTGCTTTTGTGTATTAACAGTGGACAACATGACTGGGTCTTTTTTGTGTGCTGCCTTTTTTGTTTTTTCATCTGCCAGCCAATATAAGAGTCTGCTGCTTCCTACAGTGTATTGCTTCCCTTTGAGTTTTTTTCCCCTTCTCTCTTTCTACTCTTTCCTTCTTTGTGCTCAATATCAAATATTATAATCTTTCAATATCAGTTTTCCTGTGGGTTTGGCAGAGATGGAAATTGGAATGATAATAGAACTAATGTTCCTAGACAAGACCAATTTTTACAATGCCTCTCTCGGGTAAAAAGTCATTTCTGAAAGAATTTAAAGTTTCATTAACATCCTTGAATTGTAGTTTGTACAGTAGAAATGACTGATTTTTATCCTCTGGGAAGTTTATTTAATCCATGCTTAGTTACTGATTAGCATGTGTTCTCATAACATAGTAGCTTCTCATTCTTGTGATCACTCAAGTGCAGGGCTAGAAGTAAAAACTTCATCACATTAAATTCAGATATTTCTGTTAACTACTAAAAGATATTTTAATGACAAAATTCTACTTATTCAAAAGATTAAACTTCATTTCTTGTTGTAATTATTCCATAAATGATCTCAGACACACATCTGAACCTCTAAAATTATGTAACATAGGAAAGGACTTGGTAAATAAGTTTTCCAATTCATATTATTCTTTTCTAGTCAGTGGTGTATATTGCTAAATGTCTTTTGCCACCACTGCTGCTTTGATCTACTGGCTATGGAACAGTGCATGCTAGGCATTAAGCCTCATTTCTGTTCTCAATCACCTCACAAAATTCCAGAAAAATGCAAACCAGTTCCAGCACACCACCGTCCCTGATATAATAATTTTGTTATGTAGTACAGTTGTATTCAGAGTTGTAAATGCAAGTTGGGACACCATATAAATAAATAAGCAATTTCATTTCACTTTTCTGTAGCTGTCCAGTTTTCAGAGTAGAAGAGGAGAAAACATTGGAAAACAAAAATCTATAGTTAAAAGAATATTTGCAAAACATGTTAATGTAATGTTAACTTACATTTATATCTAAATATACTTTCTCTTTTGTTGTTCTCTAAATAATGATCTCTCTCCTATTTCAAGCACATTCCCCCAACACTGTTCACGGATCCTAATGAGATTGCCCAGTATTTGCCTGTCAAAGAAAATATTTGTGAGAAGCTGGAATTTCCTGAGAACTTATGCCATGAATCTGCAGCTGCACCAGAAGGCACTTAATGAGAGCTGCATAATCTGATGAACTTGATATAGACTCTGTTCTTATCTTCTGGGCCCTTAGCACTGAAGATGCTGGATAAAGATCTGTCTGGAGGCCTGGCTAAAATTTCGGTAGCCTTGGGTGGGTGAAGCTAACTTGGAAGTTTTTCCTGTACTTTCATTGTGTCTCTGTTTTGAATATGCTTTGATCTAATAGGAAACTGCTGTTACTGATATTGGGGAGTAAGTCCCCAAATCAGGATCAGTTATATTAAAGTATGCAACATTTCAAGAAAGACTGCACAGATGTTCAAAAATCAAAACAAAACAAGTCCTTCATAAGCGCAGTAACTTTTAAGGACGTTGTTTTAACATAGTCTTTTGTTATAAAAGGACTTGTGTTTCATATGGTGTGAAAGAGAATAATTAATTATGTTTCTTCTCTAGGTTAAATTTGATTAATTTGTTGAGGGATCATTGATGCTTGATGAGTTCATGAAATTTAATGTATATTGAATGGTATTCTTAATAATACTCGCTTGCTGCTTGTCTTATCAGATATGAGGTTTGTTACCTTATAAACAAAGCTAAAACTTTCACTAATTTTAAAACAAACAAGCTACATAATGTTGACTAAGTACAGATAACAGTAGAATCCATTTTTGCCTGATTCCTACCATTCTGTCATAAATTAGACGTTAATAACAACTTGAAATTGTTAATGCTCCTTCTTGTCAACCTGAAGTTACCTCCTTTTAAAAATATTGCAAGTTTATATTGATTAGATGTTAACACAAATTAAATTCTTATAATATTTGTAACAGAATATAAAGTATTAGTAGTGGGCTATTGCAGCTATGACAGACATGCATACTTTTAAGTTGTCAATATTTTTGATAAAAATGATTGCACATATATTTATAAAATAGTTATCAAACTGCACCATTCATATATTTCTTATAGAAGATAAACTGAACTATTGTGGAGAAGTTGTTTCATCAGTTTATTTCTAAAACTCATTTTCAGTTCTTACATTTTGGTATATCTCTCCACCCTATTTGATAGCAGGCAAAATAATATTTGAGATTTTGGTAATTTTAGGTTTCTTTTTATATATTATAACAATAGATTCATACAAAATGTCATTCTGGTATAAATATATACATTTCTCTGATATGGTTTTTCTTATCCATGCCTCAAAGGAGAAGAGTTTGAAAATCAATAAGATTGTTTTGTCCTTTTTTATTCTGTGTTTTGGTTTTGAAAAGCCAAATAAGTAACTCTTTCAGAAGTACTAAGATAAGGCAGTTCTAATTCAGTGTCCATTGTATTAGCAACAGATTGTATTGGACATTATGCAGTGTGTTAAGAGTAAAGATGTATAGGCTAGCTGTTAGATTTTAAGCCATATTAAGCCTTACCTGAAACAACAATGAATGTTCACTACTTTAACATACATGCATAGGAAATAATTTAGCCAAGCAGGGATTTGGCTTGTTTTGAAAAATGAGTATGTTTTTCCAATACATATGTTGACTTCAGAATTTATTAAGAAAAATACATCAGTCCTATATCTTGAGAGAACTTTAACTATTTATATTGCATAGCTAGTCATGATCGCTAGTTGTATATGAAAATAGCCGATGATTGGAATAACTAGAAGAAGAAACAAGAAGCAAAAAGATTTCAAAAGCAAGGGCAAACTACACCTACAAATATAAAATTAGTCATTTTAAAATTTCTTTCCATAAATATGTGAAGAAGCTAAATTTATTCTATTTATTCTGTCCTACAACAAATAGTTGCATATAATTGTCAAATTCAGACTAGAGAGGGAAAGAAAACTGGATCCTTATTCCTGTATCATGCATGTTCCAATTGACATTTAACAGTAGTGAAATCTCCTGTGTGGGATTTGTTCTTGTAAGCATTTCCTTGTGAAATTAACCAAATTCATACCTTCAAAAGGTACAGTATACCATCAATATTTCCAACGTTGAAGTTAATGAAGACTATATTGTGCACCCCTTCATTTCAATAGCACCTGTGCAGAACTATTTACTAAAGTTGTACTCTCGTCAGCATGAAAAAGGCTTATGTTGTTTAGTCAGAAACATGTAATGGTTTGTGTTCAGTCACAAAATAAAAAAGTTGCATTTAGCATCTCACTTTCATTTTAAATACTACAATAAGAAAGGCCTTTTTTTAACTTAAAAATATTTTTTTCTTCAATTTGATTTTCTTCAGATTTGTTGGCATGTAATTCCTGTAATAGAGAACCAGTTTGGTATAATAGTTAAAGCATCAGGCTAGAAACTGGAAGACGTCAATTCTAGTCCCGCCTTCAGCACAAAGCCAGCTGGGTGACCTTGGGCTGGTCACTTTCTGTCCATGCTAGGAAAGAAGCAATGGTAAACCACTTTTGAAAAACTGTCAAGAAAGATGCAGGGACATGTCCAGTCAGCGTCTGAGAATTGGATACAATGGAACGGAAGAAAAAAAAATTCCTGTAATAGTGGGATTGATCTTTAAGCTTTAGGTGACTTGCTTCCTTGGCTGTCCTTGGAGAAGACACTCTTAACTCATGAACTTCTAAGGGTGATGGCCAATATTACTTTGCTCACTGGATTTTCTCAACAAGCCTAGACAGCTTGGTGAAAAGTCAGTGATGGGGAAGGCTATACATTACTGCCAACCTGTGCCTTAATTCCAGAATGTTATTCATTCTCTGGTTTGTCCATCATTTCACCCTGCTGGCTAGAGTAGATTGGAGTTTAATATCCATTGGAGAACTCTTGCTTAATTGTAGCTAACATTCTATTTCTACAATATTCAAATAATTATTGATAAGAATTTATACAATATGTGATGGTAGATTACACTAGGTACAGAAAACTACCATAGTTGTTTCTTCCATACACAAGTCATGAAAATATACTAGAACTATTATTTACACCAAGAGGAAAACTCACCAGTATTGTTGATTCAAAAACCTGGATGTTAAAGGGATTCAATGAGATTTCAGTTACACAGTTGCGTTTGAACATTGAAAGTACTGAATGCCTTTTATTTATTTTCCTTGGATTCTCTGCTTCAAGTTTCAGTATTTATACTGAAAATCAGATAAAAATATGAAGGGACTCCATAAGAAAAATCCATTCTGTGTGGGAATAGAATATTAAAGTATATTAAAGCTAAGCATGGCTTAGTGACCATGTGTTCTTACTTTCCTTCAACATGGCATAATAATTAAACCATGAATATGTAAAATAGGAACAGTAATTTTGCCTTAAAGTCTAACTTTATTGTTAATTTATAGGATAATCCAGCCATTACTGTTGTGATTGTCACTAATGCAGAAAAGTTTTATATTGCAGCAGTAATGATGTAAATTTTTGATGCAGCTAGTCTCACTAAGGAATAATAACATAGAATGATAGAGTTAGAAGGGACCTTGGAGGTCTTCTAGTTCAACCCCCTGCTTAGGCAGGGATAATATAGATATGCCCATCAGATTATTTCCCTTCAGGGTAAATAATGTTAAGCAAAGCACAGAAAAAGAAAGAAAAATAGCAACTGCTCTCTGTAGTCCTGTCCCATAATATCCTGTCCCATTGCCTTTCCTGCAATATCTCCTGCCAAACCTCGAAGAAAACCCCTTTTCTATATACCTACTCTGACGTATGTTTAATACTGTACTTTAGTTCCACCAAATCTATGTAACAGCTTGCTTGTTTCTCTAAGGAGTTCAGACGTTTTTGCTCTAACTGCCTATGTGCCTTAACAGTGAGAGACAGAATAACAACAAAAAAATCCAGAAAAACACATTTCAAAAAAGTTATAAATTGATTTGCATTTTAATGAGTGAAATAAGTATTGGACCCTTTTGCAAAACATGACTTAGTACTTGATGGCAAAACCCTTGTTGGCAGTCACAGGTCAGACGTTTCTTGTTTGCACACATCTCAGGAGGGATTTTGTCCCACTCCTCTTTGCAGATCCTCTCCAAGTCATTAAGGTTTCGAGGCTGTTGGCAGTTCGAAACTTTAGCTCCCTCCACAGATTTTTTATGGGATTAAGTCTGGAGACTGGCTAGGCCACTTCAGGATCTTATTGTGCTTTCTTGAATTGAGCCAATCCTTTGTTGCCTTGGCCTGTGTTTTGGGTCATTGTCATACTGGAATACCCATCCACGACCCATTTTTAATGCCCTGGCTGAGGGAAGGAGCTTCTCACCCAAGATTTGACAGTACATGGCTCCACCCATTGTCCCTTTGATGTGGTGAAGTTGTCACCTTACCAGAAAATCACCACCAAAGCATATTTCCACCTCCATGTTTGATGGTGGGGATGGTGTTCTTGAGGTCATAGGCAGAGTTGATGCCAAAGAGCTCTATTTTGGTCTCATCTGACCACAACACTTTCACCCAGTTGTCTGAATCATTCAGATGTTCATTGGCAAACTTCAGACGGGCCTGTACATGTGTTTTCTTGAGCAGCAGGACCTTGCGGGCGTTGCAGGATTTCAGTCCTTCACGGTGTAGTGTGTTACCAATTGTTTTTTTGGTGACTATGGTCCCAGCTGCCTTGAGATCATTGACAAGATCCTCCCATGTAGTTCTGGGCTGATTCCTCATTGTTCTCATGACCATTGAAACTCCACCAGGTGAGATCTTGCATGGACCTCCAGACCGAGGGAGATTGACAGTTACTTTGTTTCTTCCATTTGCAAATAATCGCACTGTTGTCACCTTCTCACCAAGCTGCTTCGCAATAGTCTTGTAGCCCATTCCAGCCTTGGGTAGGTCTACAATCTTGTCCCTGACATCCTTGGACAGCTCTTTGGTCTTGGCCATGGTGGAGAGTTTGGGATCTGATTGATTGATTGCTTCTGTGAACAGGTGTCTTTTATACAGGTAACAAGCTAAGATTAGGAGCACTCCCTTTTAAGAGAGTGCTCCTAATCTCAGCTCGTTACCTGTATAAAAGACACCTGGGAGCCAGAAATCTTGCTGATTGATAAGGGACCAAATACTTATTTCACACATTAAAATGCAAATCAATTTATAACTTTTTTGAAATGCGTTTTTCTGGATTTGTTGTTGTTATTCTGGCTCTGTTAAAAATCATTAAAATTATAGAGCAGGGATGTCAAATTCGCAACGTCACGTGACATGTCATGATGTAGCGTGACTTTTTTTCTGTTGCCGGAAATGGGGTGGGCGTGGTTTCGCCATGACGCATCCGGCCCGCAGTCCTGTAGTTTGACACCCCTGTTATAGAGCGGTCATTTCTTTGTCAGTGGCCAAATGTACAAAATCAGCAGGGGATCAAATATTTTTTTCCCCTCACTGTACATTTTTGACAATTTCTAACAGTTCAATTTATTCTCATACGTTTCCATATATAACTCTCACAATTCTGCAATTAACTTTCAATTCACATAAAACATAAAGCTTATTCTCTTTATCATAAGCTTTGTCTAACCCAGGGGTATAGCTTACTCAGCATAGCTTACTCAGGAATTCTGGGAGTTGAAGTCCATGAGTCATAAAAGAGCCGAGGTTGCCTACCCCTGGTCTAATCAAAGCAGTCAAAACAAATGCGCTCAATATATACAGCAGGGTAGTCAACCTTGGCTCTTTTATGACTCGTGGACTTCAACTCCCAGAATTCCTGAGCCAGCTGTGCTGGCTCAGGAATTCTGGGAGTTGAAGTCCACGAGTCATAAACGAGCCAAGGTTGACTACCCCTGATATACAGCAATAAAGAATATATACAATAGTGTCCCCATTAAGCCGCATCAGACACATCTTACAGTTACTGACGCTGAGAAACACCGAGCTAAACGTGAAGAAAAGAGCATTGTCCTCGGGACTAGAACTTTCTCAATGCGCATAGGTGGGAAATACTCCAACTACATTTCCCGACCTGCATCGCAACGGCGGGACGGGATGAGTAGCTCTGAAAGGCACCGGGCGGAAGGCGGAAGCTTAAGGAGCATCTGAATGTTCTATCTGGTGGCTGGGAGTTGTAGTCTTGGGGAGCTAAGTAAGGTTGATCGGCGTGGGTAGAATCGACATCGGAGCTGGCGAAACTCGGGAGTGCCTGGACGAGAAGGAATGGATAAATTAAAGCGAGTTCTCAGCGGACAGGACGCGGAGGACCCGGGACCTCTGGCAGAGGTAAGCTTCTCTTTATTTCAACAGGTTAAGACGTCAACAAGTTACCATCTGCGTCGTCTTCTTCCGTTTGGGTTGTGGTTTCTTTTGGACTTTCTCTTTTGTCTGTTTCATCGCGTTTTGCTGCTTCTGTCCATCGCCAGTGCTCTTTATGTCCATCCCCGTTCTCCTTTTCTTTTCCCCGAGATGTTTCGGAGTCTGTTTCTTACTTGTTGATACTGACCCATTTAGCCAGCTTTTCCAACTAGGCTGGCAGTATATACAATTTACATTACTCCAGCGACTGTAGTAGTCATTCTGGCTGAGATTGGTGAAAGTTGTAATCTAAAACTTATTTACTGTTGTCATTCCCCTCGTTTTGCAAAGTTCTTGTGCTTTTAACTTAGTGTGATAATCCTAATTTTGAATAAAGGCACTGTGCTCTCTCCCACACATCATGGCTGTATTGGCTGGATCTATCTGAACCATTAATAGTCACCTTTTAGCCTAGAATGCTGAGTACACAGTTCTTTTGGTTAGTTTATGGTACTGTATTGTGTGAATCCAGAAAATTGGGTTATGTGAATGAATCGTGATTAGGGTAACCATGGGTGAGTCATATATGCATACAGTTCTGTCCGGTGCTTGAGTATTTACTTGTTTATTACACTTCCAACATTTTAGCCTTTGACAATACAGGTATATATATTTTAAAAAAGAAGACAATAATTATTGCTCCTTAGTCTTAGAAAATTTGCCATTTTTCCTTTGGTACTTTATTTTGGTAAAATGAATGTCTCTATAGTTTCATAGGCGCTGAAAAGGGGCAAAGTCCCATTTTGATAGATATCATGGCCAGAGAATTAAAGTGAGTTTTTAATTTTTACCAAATTTAAATATGTTTCTGGTATACCAAAGAGATATCTGAAGTAGTGAAAACAGGATAGGATCTCAGGGGAATAAATTATGAAAAGATTGTACCAGTAACAAGCAAATCACTCTGAGCTATTTGCAAAGCACAAGCAGATAGGAACAAACAAACAACAAAGGGCTTTGCAACTTAAATTAGTTATTAAAGTTATGGCTAAATTTGTGGTTTGATTACTCAGGGGAGTTGTTCAAAAATTAAAGCCAGCACTGATTAACCAGTTTGACTGGCATCTGGAAAACCCAGATTTGAGTCAGCCTTTAGCTTTGGAAGCATAGTAGATGGCTTTGGGCAGTCTTATCTGAAGGGCCACAGATCTTTTCATGCCAGGAATTAGAAATGATTAGCATTTTTTAAAAAAATAACATCCTTACTTTAGACTACTTCACAATACTGTACATTTATTTATTATTTACTGTATTATTAGATTTATACCCCAAATATATTTGTACAAATCAGGCAACAATGGAGAGTATTTTAGAACTGAGAAAGTCACTAGTAAAAAAACTCATTCCAGTGTTTCCACCCCTTAGCATGGATGAAACTTAAAATGGAACCATTTTATTTTGAAAACTTTTTAAAGAAGATGTTAGATACTTCTTGCTGTTGCTAATCTGCTAGGAAGAAAATAGAAAGCGACATGTTGCTTTATGTTGTTTGACACCGATGTTTGCTTATTAGAAAATCAAACAGAATCTCCTTGTTAATGCATAGGAGGACTGGGCACTGTTGACTAAACTGGGAAATGGAAAAACAATCCTGAAAGAAGACAGTGGCAAAACTCTGCATAACACTGCCAAGAAAGCTTCATAGATGCATTCACCAAGAACTGAATCGATTTGTCAGCATCCTTGTTTTACCTTTTAATATTTCCAGATAGCTGATGCAACTACCTTAAGCTGGAGTACCAGACTGAAAGCCTTCATAGCTTGTTTTATAATAGGAGTTGTGTGTTCTGTTCTGGTAAGACTTTAATTTCTTCTATTCTTATCATAAAATTCTGCTCTTTTGGGACACTATCAGTTGCAGTGCAAAATAATTATTGATGCAGACACTTATTTTCAACTGCTTGTTAATGTACATGGATATACTCTACCTGAAGTAATACACGTGATTTGGCTGAATGCATTTTGATTTATTCCCCAAATAATGTTATATTAGTTAAAAAGATACAAACCTATGCCTGTGCATTGAGATATAAGAATTCATATATTTTCAACTTTTATAATTTAACTCATAGTAGCATAATTTCCAAGTTTAGGACTACTTGCAATCTCCTAAATTAAGAATTCATCCAAAGATTGCTGTGAAATCAGTTTAATCTGACAAAAGGGAAAAATAAGGGATCAGATAACATAGACACACACACACACACACACACACACACACCTATAACTTTTAACTTTTTCATTAATTCAACCTACACCCTAGCTTCTATGCATGTATTCATGAGTTCCACTCTACAAAAGCAGACCACATGAAGTATATCATTGATGTTTTTTCTTAGTTTTAATGGCAATCATCTTTTTTCATTCTTTTCACTTGCTTTTTACTATTTCCTACATTTTAAGCTACAATTCACCATATAAGATAGTCAAAGCTTCCTTATTGAATATTATAAGTCTTTATTTTCACTGCTCTGGAATTAGGCATGCAACAAAGGCTGCCTGCAGAATATTTCTGTTCAGCCTTCTAGAGACTATTATCCATTTCCTCCCTGTTTGTGATTACTGATTAGGGCATCTTCTGTGTCCATGGGGCGTACTCAAAACTCACTAGGCTGAGTTCCTTCTCCCCCCACTTGTACATGGATAATGCTATTTTGGCTAAGTAAGGATTAACATTCAAGAAGTTTGACTTTGTTGTTATATGATAATTGCTCCCTCTGAAAACAGGACTACGCATTATACATAGTAATGTTGTCTTAAGTTGTTTTATTTGAATACTTGGTGCTTTTACAAACAGACTCTGAGAATTAGTAAGAGAATCTGAATTTAATAGCTCCATATACTTTTATCTGCAGGACAATACATAAATTTTGTTACAGACTCCTTATTTCTTTTTCTCTTTTTCAGGGTTCGTTTCTACTAATGGTTCCTAAGAAAGGACCTATCTTGTTTGGAGTATTTTATACCGTGGGAAATATCTCCTCCATTGGAAGGTAAATTATTCTTATTTTAAACTTGTAGATGATAAAAGACTTTCAAATGTCTCAATGAGATTAGCATTAGTAATTCTTGAAATACTTAACTCTGTTAGTTTCTGCTGCTTTGTGATTAAGTCGAAATATTTTTATTCTGTATATCTGATGAAGGTTATGTTAATCTTTTTCTTCTGCAGTACCATGTTTCTTATGGGACCAGTGAAACAATTAAAAAGAATGTTTGAACTCACTCGTTTGATAGCTACAATTGTTATGCTTGTAAGTAATTTCTCCTTTTGGTTTCTTAATGACTAATGAGAATGTTCAGTGTTCAATATTGTTTGTATGGAGGGGTATGCATGACTTCAAAGCTACTTTTTTCTGGTTTTTGAAGACTTCCATTTCCAATTGCACTTCAGAAATTAGAAATTAAAAAAGAAGAGCTTTTGCAGAAAAAAATAAAATTGTAGTATTCAGTCTTCAGGAGATTTATATATCTGCCATATCTTTTTCTTAAAATGACAGAAAGTTAGTCTCATCACCCTATGATGCCAGCACCATAGTTCTTAGAGACTGATTTTTTTTAAAGTTCATCTCTTTGCCAAAAAAGTTCTCCCGCCTTAGAATAGAATAGAATAGAACAGAATAGAACTTTGTCACTTTGAATGTACGCTAATTGGCATACATTAAAATGAAATTTCATTGCATACAGCTCTCAAAGGGTCACCATCTCCCAATATACACTACATAAATATGACAAAAATAAATAAATACAGAATTATGCATATACCCACATATATTATATGACATAGAGAAACAACACAGTCGGATTATGTATACATGTACATGGCGAGAAAAACGAATCTTGCAAGTTTACCAGATGGATGGCATAGGGAACAAAGCTATTACAGAATCAGGTAGTCCTGCTAGAAATACTATTTTGCTTTTTAAAAATTACTTTTGCTCATAACCATAAATGGACATAGATTACTGTAATTGTCTGTGGTTTTTAAGGGCTTTATAATAAGTGAGGCTTAATATAGGAACCTGCTTTTTTGTTGGGAAGAATTATACAAGATTTAAATACAAGATACACTACAAACCACGGTGATCCAATTATTAAGAACAATTGGGATCTTTTACTCAGAAGCTGAATTTGGGGAAAGCAATCTCCTTTGAGTTCCACCTAGATTTCAGATGAAAAGTTATTCCAAGAACAGGTGGTGGTGGCAGCATCAAATCTTTTACCTGGAGAACAACTATATCAATACACTTTAGAACCCTGGAATGAAGAGGAATATATATTTTATTACAAACATTTATATGACCCCTCAATTCAAACGATGTGACTCTAAGTAACGTACAT